ATAAGTTGGTTTCTGATAGAACAGCATTGAGAGTTCAATCTCTTGTGTTTCACCCTTCAAGGAGACTGATAATGAAAGAAAATCTTAAAAAATAATGCCTCTCAGTTGCCCTGTCTCTGTAGAGCTGGGATTTTCCAACAGTGCTAAATCCCTGGACATCAGTCCCTGAGAAGGAGTTGAAGGAAAACTTCTCAAGAGCTCAAAGACATATTCAAACTCCAAAGTTCATTGAAGTTCTAATGGATTCCACTGAGGGATATGACTCAGAAAGTGTCACCAGGTTCCACTTAGAGCAGAGCACTGGAGGCACTGATGGCAGATGGGGACAAACACGGGAAAGATGTCTCTGATGCTGAGCAATCCTGGATGTGTTTCAGGAATGCAAATGGCCAAGGACCGAGCCCCAGCCCCTGGCAAGGCAGATCCTGTCCCTCCCTCATTGCTCAGGGCTCTTCCCGGCCCACTGGGCTCTGGGCATGTGCAATGCCAAGGGCAGCACCATGGGGCGGCCCCTGCCAGGCTGCTGAGCAGGGACAAGGAGGCAATGAGGCCCCAGCACAGCAAGGCTCACTTGTCCCCTGCTGGCCTCAGGCCCAGGGCCAGCCTGCATGGCCCAAGTGCTGCAGGAGTTGGCTGTGTCAGGGCCTTTCAGCTGCTGCCCATCCCTGTGCCCTCTGCAGCCCAGGCTGTCCTACGGTGTCCATGCCCTGCGCCTCTGTCCCTGCAGGCTGTCGTCATCCCCCGGCTGCCCCACCTCGCTGGCCCCTTCCTTTGCTGACAGCTCTGCCTCCTGCCTGCCTCTGCCTGGACACACAAAGCCTTGGCCTTCATACCAAAACGGTTTAATTCAACATTTGCTGTGCCTTTGAACTTTTAGCACAGAAACAAGGCAGGCAGGGGCTGCTTTCTCATCAAAGATGATTAGAAGAGAAGAACACATCTAGCTCAGAGGTGCAGTGATAGAAAAAGCAAGGATAGAATCTGGGAACTTGGGGTGGGTTTTATAGAAATGGGTAAATTGTAATGCATATGTAGTGACTGAATATAAGCAATACACTTGTAGAATTGTGTTCCATGTAAGGACACAATTGGACCTAAGGCCTAAAAAAAATCATGTCCCCTTTAACTCCAAACTAATGTTAAGGAATCTTATTCTGATATTTTGGAGATTTGTTGACAGTGGGGTCTCACAGAACCAAGGAGTCAACACTAGAGAATCTCAAGGAGCAAAGGGGGTTTTTGAAACTCTGGGAGCTCATGAAACCAAAATCCGCTTTGACAGAGTGGGGCCATGTGGAACTTATGTTCCATTGTTCTACTGCAGATCCAAGGAGGCCATGGTGGAACTGTGGAACCTCCTGCAACCATGGGTGCATTGTGACACTGCAGGGCCTCCCAGAACAAAGGAGTCCATTGTGACACTGCAGAACCTCACAGAACCAAGGTGACCATGTTATAGCACAGAACCTCATGGAAAAAAGAGTCCATGGTGACATTGCGCAACTGTTGCTGAGAGTATGAAAGCTCATGGAACCAGAAGTCCATTGTGGCCAAGGGGCCATGTGGATCCAAGGAGACCATTGTGACACTGAGGAACCTCATGGAACCAAGGGTCTATTTTTATACTATGGGGACTCATGAAACCAAAGGTCCATTGTGATACTGCAGGGCCTTATGGAACAATGGGGACTATTATGTAACAGAATCACAGAATTAATGAGGTTGGAAAAGACGTTTGAGATCATCAAGTCCAACCTGTGGCTTAACATCACCTCAATAGGGCTTATCACCGCAATAAAGGCCTTCAATAGATTCACCTTGGGCAGTCAAAAATGGCCCAGAGGCTACACCAAATGTGGACGGTAGTCACAAGTTTTTTAGACTTGTATAAATTTAGTTTGTTTCCATATCAATATTTAAACCTCCAATTGCAGCTTCAAGTAATGAAGTAATATTCTGCCAGTTCGCACCCCCCAATTCACTTTTGTTTATAATTTCCAGAGTCTGAGGCTGTAGGGTGTCCTTGATTTTCAGGCGTAGGGTAATTGTTTTGTCTGACTGAAATGTAAAGAGTGTTAACTAATACTTTACATGGAATTTAGAGTTATGCACTAATGCAGTACAGGATTTGAAAAATATAAAGGCTAAAATCTTAAGGCATCACAGGCCTCACTGAACCAAGGGGCCACTGTGACACTTTGTGGCCCCATAGAATCAAGGAGTCCATTGTGACACTACAAGGCCTTATGGAAGCAAGGAACCATTGTGACACTATGAGGTCTTGTCAAGCAAAGGGGTGATTGTGTCACTGTGCGGCACCATGGAATCAAGGAGTCCATTCTGACATTACAGGGCCCCATGGAACTGAGGATTCATGGAACAGTGCAGGACCCCATGGAACCAAAGGTCCATTGTGACACTGTGTGGCCTCATGGAATCCTGGAGGCCATGATGACACTTTGAGGCCTGGTTGAATCAAGGGGCTCTGCAGGACCTCATGGAACCAAGGAGACCCTTCTGCCATTGTGAGTCCCCATGGGTCCATTGGGATACTGTGGCACCAAGGAGACCCCTGTGACACTGCAAGGGCTCATGGAGACAAGGGACCATTGTGACCGTGTGGAGCCCCATGGAAACAAGAGGCCAGCTTGACACAGCTGGGCCTTGTGGAACCAAGAATGACACAATCACTGTGACACTACACAACCACATGGATCCAAGGGAACAGGTAACAGGTCTGGTTGGCTTGGCCTGACTGGTCCAACAGCCCTTGGCATGTTGAGGGTTTCTTCTCAAGTGCCCCTGAAACACTAGGACTCTGGACTTTCCTTCAAATGGAAAAGAACTGTCCTCACTAAAGCATTCATGGCCAAAATGGGATTCTTCCTCCAAAATTCCCAATATTTAGGGATTGCTTCCAGACAAAAGCAGCCATTACCAAATGGTTTGGCCGACCTTGGCCTCCTGAAGGTCAGCTCTCACCTGCCTTCCAAAATCTAGGGTTGTGTGCTTTCCTTTCTATGAAAAAGAACTAGCCATGTCCTCCAGGCAGAGAGAGCTGAAACGGGGATTCCACATTCAAAATTTCAAATATCCCAGGGTTGCTCCCAGACAAACCTGCCAGGACAGACAGGTGTGCCTGGCATTGGCCTCTGATTCATCAGCCCCTGAAACACTGAGGCTTTGTTGTTTCCTTCCTGTGGAGACCATGGTGACACTTTGGGGACCCCATGGAACCAATGACATCATTGTGGCACTGTTGGACTGCATGGTGCCAAGGGCCCAGTGTGAAGCAGCAGGGCTTTGTGGAACCAAGAGGCCATTGTTGCATTACAGGGCCTGGTGCAGCCAAAGGGCCGTTGTGATCCTGCAGGGCACCGTGGATCCATGGAGACCATTGTGGCATTGCAAGGCCCCATGGAATCATGGAGACCATTGTGACACTGTGGGGAACCAAAGGGCCATTGCGACCCTGCAGGGCCTCATGGAAGCAAGGGGCCATTGTGACACTGCAGCAGCAAGGAGAACATTGGGACACTCTAGAGCCTCATGGAAGCAAGGGGAGATGGAACAGGTCTGGCTGGTTTGGCCTCCGAGGAACCGCCTGACAGGTCCAGCTGACTTTGGAATGTCAACGGCTGCCTCTCATCAGCCCCTGGAGAACTGGGACCCTGTGCTTTCCTTCCTATGGAAAAGAATCATCCATCTTTCCAGGTGCCCACAGCCAAAACTGATACTCCCCCTGAAAAATTCCCTATATGCAAGGGTTCTCCTAGACAAAAGCTGCCAGGACAGGATGGAAAGCTCTTACTGACTCTGTCCTCTGGTGATCACCTCTCATCTCAAGGAAGCTCTGAGGAAAACATCTGAACAGGTTTGACTACTGGAATATCAATGAGTACCTCATCCTCTGAAAAACTCAGTTGTTCTTCTGAGTATACGTGTCTTTTATTTCTCATTGTGTGTGATACATAAAATATTTTTTTCAGCTAAAAAATATAATTCTTATCACTCTAACAGTGTTATCTGACACAAAACGGCCTCCTATACCTGTGTATGCAGGTCATCTGTATAAGCAAACACAGTAAAGAATCCACGTCCTAGTTTCGGACAAATTTGGGAGGAAACCTCTGAATGAGGTCCCTCTAGAAAAAAAGAAAGGATTCCAAGCAGTCCCTCCTCCAGTGGAATAAAAGAAAACCTGTTTATTCAACAGGCAACACATCACCCAGCACAAAAATGAACAATATCAAACAGCAAAACCTCTTGCCGTTCCGAAGGGATGACAGATTTAGAACGGTTCTTTCCTTGGGCTGCCCGGCTCACTCAGTCTGTTCTCAGTCCCTCCTGTGCTGGGGAATGCTGCGGCCCAGGCCAGGCCCGGTGGGCCACAGGTGTGAACTCTTCTGGATTTTCAGTCCAGAGCAGGTTCAAACAGTTCCAGGAAAAAAGAAAAAGGGGAAAAAAATCAATCCAGGGGGCTTCTCTGCCTCAGCTAGCCAGAAAACTAACCAAGAGCAAAGGAGAGCTCTCTCTCTCTGTCCACCGCAGACAACAGAGTCAGTGTGCAGGAATGCGGGGGAGCCAGTGCAGTCTCTGATAACAAACTCTGCACTTCTTCTTCCCCCCCCCCCCCCACCTCCTGGAACCAGTCTTAAAGCTACAGAATTTAATATTCAACACCAACAGAACAGACGATTTGGGGATACAAGCATCATACAGTCACCGCAAGACAGATGGATAGCTGGATAGATAGATGGATGATGGATGGATGGATGGATGGATGGATGGATGGATGGATGGATGGAAGGATGGATGGATGGAAGGATGGATGGATGGTGATTGGAGGGCTGCATGAATATATGGATAGATGCATGCTAAGGTGAGACATGGATGGATTGATGGATGGACAGAAGAAGAGATGAGGAATGGTTGGATGATTGAAAATGAACGGTAGCTTCTGGGTGAGTTGGCTGGGTAGACTGAAGGATAGGGGGATGATGGGGAATGCATGGATGGTGATGGATGATGTATCAATGGAGGAGGGCCTCCTGGGTGGATTGGGTGGACGAATGCTGAGTGGACACATGGCTGGACAGGCACACACGTGGCTGAGCCCATGGCTGGTTTTTGCTCTGAGTGAGTGAGGAGGCGAGTGTAGAGGAATAGAAGTGTAGGATTGTATTCAAGTCAGATTAAAATAGGATTGTATTCAAGGACTGGCTGAAGGAAACAGGATGGATGGATGAATGCATGAAGATGGATAATGGATGAGAGCTGTTGGGGCAGTTTGTTAGTGGTTTGACATGTCAGATCAGTGGGTGGGTAGTTGGGTGACCCAATGCAGATTAAAGGAGTTAAAGAAAAGGTGCCTGTGGTTGGGTGGAAGGGTATATGATGGGTGCCAGAATGAATAATCCTGCAGATAAAAGTGTAAATGGAAGGATGTATGCATTGATTGGTGGGTGTTGAGATGGATCATTGTATGGACACAGGGATTCCCATGCCGTCATCCATTCCAGGCACAGAAGAGCCAGAGGAGTTGCCCCTGCCCTCAGAGGAGCAAAAACATCAGCAACTGAGGCCCCCCCATCTGAGACCCCCCAGTGCAGGTGGTACTGGGGGAGCTGAGGGTCTCCAGCATCACCCCAGGCTCTGTGGGGCTGCAGTGGAGCGTCCCCAAGGGCTCCTTTGACTCCTTCACGCTGCAGTACCGGGATGCCCAGGGCCAGCCCCAGGCCCTGCCCATCGATGGTGAGTCCCGCTCAGTGACGGTGCCGGGGCTGTCCCTGTCCTGCCGGTACTGCTTCCACCTCTATGGGCTGAGGGGAGGCAAAAGGATTGACCGTGTCTCCACTGACACTGTCACAGGTGAGGCAGAAGGACAAGATGGGATGAAGGATCAAGAAATGGAAGCATCAAGGGATCCCATGCCCATCACATACCCACCAGCAAGCAGCCATTGACTCAGCACCATTTGATCAACCATCAACCTTTCCACCATTCTATTGCTTAACACACTCCATCATCCATTGTCCATCATCCACCATCCATCAGCAGTGATCCATCAACTCTCTCTTGTCATTCATCATCTTCATCTCCCATGTATCACCATCATCATCACCATCATCCATCAATTATCATGAATCCATCTATCCTTCCATGCTTCTCTCATCCTCTATCCATCAAGGATAGATTCAGTGATGGATGAATGGAAGATTGTCAATGGGAAATGGGGTTGGGAGGGGTGAAGGCATGGAGAAATGGGGTAAGAAAGCCAGATGGATGTGGAACTGGCCATGGACTTGTATTGGATACTGGGTGTGTGACGGATAAAATGGATGGATGGATGGATGGATGGATGGATGGATGGATGGATGGATGGATGGATGGACGGATGGATTAGCTAGCGGGTGGTGGGATGGACATTTGGAAGGACACATGGATGACCATGCCAATCACCATCCCTCCTCCTATGCAGCTAGCGATAACCATTGCCCTCAGAGGAGCCCCAAGAGGAGAAGCCTCAAACTGAGTCCCCTGCATCTGAGGCAGTCTCGGCGTGAGCGGTGCTGGAGGAGCTGAAGCTCTCCAGTGTCCCACCAAACTCTCTGGGGTTTCAGTGGAGCATCCCTGAGAGCTACTTTGACTCCTTCACACTGCAGTACCAGGATGCCCAGGGCCAGCCCCAGGCCCTGCCCATCGATGGCGAGTCCCGCTTCGTGATGGTGCCGGGGCTGTCCCTGTCCTGCCGGTACCGCTTCCACCTCTATGGCCTGAAGGGAGGCAAAAGGATTGACCATTTATCCACTGACATTGTCACAGGTGAGGGGAAAGATCAGAGAGTGAAAGGGTTGGAGAGGTGGCTGTAAGGATGGAGAGGTGGAGCAATCAAAGGATCCCATCCCAATCCCATCCCTACCTGCCTTTCAGTACCCACTGACATCAACATCATCCAACTAACCATTGACCCTTCCACTGGCAAACACCCACCATCATCCATCATCATCATCATTATTTAATTGGATAGATCCATTATCTATCCATCACCCATCATCAGTCCCTCCATTCCCACTTCTCCCCAGTTTCCCAGCTTGGTAGTGGAGGATGTGTGGAAGTGTTGGCAAGGTAGAAGGATAAATGGATAGATGAATGATTATGTTGATGATGATGATGATGACTGTGATGATGGATGGATGATGATGATGGGTGATGTAAGAAGGATGAACAATGGATGATGGATGGACAATGGAATGGCAGTGAATGGACAGTGGATGGAGGATGGATGGATGGATGGATGGATGGATGAATGGATGCATGAATGCATGGATGCATGGATGCAGGGATGATGGGTGTTGGGGTAGTTTATCAGTGATTTTGAGGATCAGATCAGTCATTTGATCGTTGGATGATCCAATGGATGGAGAAGTAAAAGATGCAGTTGAAACAAAAGTTTCAACGAGAAAGACACATGATTGAAGGAATGGATGGATATGGATTGGATGGATGAGTGGATAGACGATGGATGGATGGATGGATGGATGGATGGATGGATGGATGGATGGAAGGAAGGAAGTGATGGATGATGGATGGATAGGTGATTAGGTGGATGATAGATGGACTTGTTGATGGACAAACAGATGCCCAGGCCCATCACTATTCCCTCTCCATCACAGCTGCAGCCATGCCAGAGGAGCTGCCCTTGCCCTAAGAAGAGTCCAAAACAGAGCCCACCCCCATCTGAAGCCGCTCTGGCACAGCTAGTGCTGGAGGAGCTGAGGGTCTCCAGCATCACCCCAGGCTCTGTGGGGCTGTAGTGGAGGGTCCCCGAGGGCTCCTTTGACTCCTTCACACTGCAGTAGTGGGATGCCCAGGGCCAGCCCCAGGCCCTGCCCATCGATGGTGAGTCCCGCTCAGTGACGGTGCTGGGGCTGTCCCCGTCCCGCCGGTACCGCTTCCACCTCTATGGGGTGGGGGGAGGCAAAAGGACCAACCATGTCTCTATTGACATGGTCACAGGTGAAGGGGAAGGTCAGAGGGGTGAGGGAGGGTGAATAAAGGGATGAAGGATGATGGATGGAGGAGAGATGGAGGGGTCAAGTGATGGAAGAACATGTGGGTGAGTGAAGGGTACAGAGAGGTACAGGAATGAGTGGATGGAGGATGGATCAACTAATCAATGAAGGGCTCCTGAACTGGATGGTTGGTTGATTGCTGGAGGTATGGATGGAGGGATGGATGCATGGATGAATGCATGGATGGACGGATGTATGGATGGATGAATGGATGAATGCATGGATGACGGATAGATGATGGATGAATGATGTATGGATAATGGATGGATGGATGGATGCATGCATGAATGGATGGATGAATGGCTGAGCTCATGGCTGGTTTGTGCCCTGGTTGAAGGAGGGGGTAAATGGAGGGGGGAGGAGAATAGATGGAGGAATGGATTTAAGGACTTGAAGTTAAAAAGATGGATAATGGATGGATGTCAGATTGATGATAGATAATGGATACATTAAGAGAAATGGTGCACTATGAGTGTTGGGGCAATTTGGTGGAGGTTTGATGTATCAGGTCAGCAGTTGGTGATTGCATGATCCAATGGAAGAAGAGGTTAAGGAATTAGTTGATGGAAAAGGTGCATAGAAAGAAACATGATTGGATGGATGGATGGATGGATGGATGGATGGATGGATGGATGAATGGATGGATGGATGGATGGATGGATGGATGGATGGAAATTTGGATAGACACATGGATTCTCACACTCATCATCTTCACGTCTCCATTGCAGCCACAGCCACTACAGAAGAGCCACAACCTGAGGACCCCAAAGCCCCTCCAACTGAGACCACCCCCATCTGAGACCCCCACGGCACGGGCAGTGATGGGAGAACTGAGGGTCTTCAGCATCACCCCAGAATCTATGGGACTGCAATGGAGCATCCCCAAGGGCTCCTTTTACTCCTTCATGCTGCAGTACCGGGATGCTCAGGGCCAGCCCCAGGCCCTGCCCATCGATGGTGAGTCCCACTCGGTGACGGTGCTGGGGCTGTCCCCGTCCCGCCGGTACTGCTTCCACCTCTATGGGCTGAGGGGAGGCAAAAGGACTGACCACATCTTCACTGACTCTGCCACAGGTGAGAAGGGTCAGAGGGGTGAGGGAGGGTGAATGAAGGGATGAAGGATGATGAGTGGAGGGAGAGATTGAGGAACATATGTGTGAGTGAAGGGTACAGAGAGGTACAGGATGGAGGGGATGGAGGATGGAGAAACTGATGGCTGGATGATGGAAGAAGGGCTCCTGAACTGGATGGTTGGTTGATCAATGGATGGATGGATGGAGAACGGATGAATGGATGGATGGATGGATGGGTGGATGATGGATGGAGAATGGACGGATGGATGGATAGATGGATGGATGGATGGATAATGGATGGATGGACCGATGTACAGATGGGTGCATGGATCAATGCATGGATGATGAATGGTGGTTGGATAGATGGTGATTGGATGGTAGGATGGATGGATGGATGGATATTTGGATAGACACATGGATTCTCACACACATCATCATTGCGTCTCCATTGCAGCCACAGCCACAACAGAGGAGCCACAACCTGAGGACTCCAAAGACCCCCCAATTGAGGCCCCTCCATCTGAGACCCCCTTGGCACAAGCAGTGCTGGGAGAGCTGAAGGTCTCCAGTGTCAGCCCCAGCTCTGTGCAACTACAGTGGAGTGTCCCCAAGGGCTCCTTTTACTCCTGCATGCTGCAGTACCGGGATGCCCAGGGCCAGCCCCAGGCCCTGCCCATCGATGGCGAGTCCCACTTGGTGATGGTGCCGGGACTGACTCCATCCCGCCGGTACCACTTCCACCTCTATGGGCTGAGGGGAGGCAAAAGGAGCGACCACGTCTCCAGTGAGGCTGCCACTGGTGAGGGGCTGCAGGGATTCCCCAGGACCCCTCTGGGAATGGAGCTGGAGTGGGGACAGGGCGGGGAGTGGGGCCTAGGGGCAGCTCGGAGGGCACTGAGGACTTGGGGATTCAGGGGAAAGTGAGACCAGGGATTGGAGGGGAGTGGAGATTTGGGGGAGTGTAACTCCTGGAGGGACTCTGATCACCTGGGGACTGGGATGAACTGGGAAAAGCTAAGGGGGACCGGTTGGAAATGGGGTCTGGGGTCATGTGTGGCCTGGGTGAAACTGCTTGGAACTGGGGCAAACTGGGGCAGGGGTGGAGTTGAGGACTGGAAAAGACTGGGGGAAACTGGGCAGTGGGGAGAATTTGGGGGGTACTGGGGGTGAACTGGGAGGGACTTGGGGAAACTGGAGGAATATGAGGGATTCGTTATTGGGGTGACTGGTAACAGTTTTGGGGGGATTAGGACAGCTCAGGGACCAAGGAGAACAGTGGGATTAGAGGGGGACTGGGAGCAACTGGGGCTGAGGGTACTTGGGAGAACTGGGCAAAACTTGGAGCTGGGGGTAGCCAGAGGACTGGAGGGAACTGGAGATTAGGGGCAATGTAGCACTGGGAGCAACTGGCAGGAGAACTGAGGGAACTGGAGGAATTGGGGACAATTTAGGACAACTGGGGGGTTTGGGAAACTGGGGGAACTGGGCCTGTGAGGAACTGGAGGGAACTGGGGACTGGGGGAACTGGAGGAACTGGGGATAACTGGGAGGTTTGGAGAACTGGGGGAATCAGGAGACTGGGGTTAACTGATGGCAACTGAGGGCTCTGAGGCCTGGGGGTAACTGGGAGGAACTGGAGGGAACTGGGGACTGAAGGGACTGGTGGAGATCGAGGCAAACTGGGAATGGGGGGGGGGAATTGGCGAATGAGGAGAAACTGAGCCAGGGGGGAACTGGGGACTGGAGAGTACTGGGGGAAACTGGGAGGAACTCAGGGGACTGGGAGGTCCTGGAGGAAATAGGTCTGGCAGGCACTGGGGGAAACTGGGGGCTGAGGGTAACTGGGGGGTCTTTGGGGGAAAGTTTAGGGGACTTGGGCCAAGTCCATCGGGCACGGTGTGAGGGCAGGGCTGGGGGGACTATGGGAGAGTTTGGAGTGTGGGGGTGGGGGGTTTGGGGTGACCACAGTGATTTTTGGGGTATCAGAAGGGGATTTGGGGCTGCTGTAGATGTCAGCAGTGTGTCCTTCCCCAGGTGGCCCAGGGACCCTGTGGGTGGGCTCGGTGTGGCCCTGCAGTGCCCGGCTGCACTGGGACCCCCCCCACGCCCCCCTGATGTCTACGAGCTGGAGTACGGCCCCCCGGGGGGCCCCAGCAGGTAACGACCCCCCAAAAGGAACCTAAAAACCCCCGGGTGTCCCCCAATATCTGCTTGGGACCCCAGTAACACCTCGGGGTATCCCATTACCCTCCTTTGGTAATGGCACCCCAATATCTCCTTGAGGGACCCCAGTGACCCTCTGGGAACCCCAATACAGCTCTGGGGGACCCCAATACCCCCCTGGGAACCCCAGTAACACCTCGGGGTATCCCATCACCCTCCTTTGGTAATGGCACCCCAATATCTCCTTGGGGGACCCCAGTAACCCTCTGGAAACCTCAATACATCTCTGGGGGACCCCAATACCCCCCCGGGAACCCCAGTAACACCTCGGGGTATCCCATTACCCTCCTTTGGTAATGGCACCCCAATACAGCTTTGGGAGACCCCAATAATGCCTTTAAGACCCCGACACCCCCCTGGGGACCCCGCTGTCCCCATTGGGGTACCCCAAAACCCCCGTGCCCCCCAGACCCTGTGGCTGCCCCCGAGGCGACATCGCAGCAGCTCTGGGGGCTGGAGCCGGCAGGACGCTATGGGGTGCGGCTGTGGGGCCGAGTGGGACACCCCAAAAGTGCCCCTCTGGAGGCCACCTTTGACAAGTGTGAGTGGGGGGAGCTATGGGGGAGGGAGGGGCACCTGGACCCCCAAAAATGGGGGTAGGGTTATTGGGGGAAGTGGGGGGTATTTGGGGTTATTTAGGGTTATTTGGGTTTTTTTGGGGGGGGGTTGGGGCTTAATTGGGGATTATTTGGGGTTTGGGGCGTTATTGGGGGTTTCTGGGGGTTACTTGGGATTTTGGGAGTCATTTGGGGGTTATTTGGGGCCCTTTTTTGGGGGGGCTGTGTCCTTTGGGGGGGGACAGCTGTACCCCTGGGTGCTTTTTTGGGAGATCTGTGTCTTTTGAGGGGACAGCTGCACCCCTGGATCATCTGAGGGGGGTCTCAGATCTTGGGGTGTCACCCAGACCCCCAAATTTCGAATGGAGGCATTGGGGGGTGCCTGTGTCATTTTGGGGAGGGGTCACCCCTGAATTCCCAGAAACTTTTTGGGGTGTCTGAAGTGACCCAAATACTCCCCCTCCCCAGCCCCACTTCCGCACCCCCATCCCCGGGACTGCGCCGAGGAGCAGCGGAACGGGCCGGGACCCTCCCGGGACACCCTCATCTCCCTCGGGGGGGACCTGGCCCGACCCCTCCGCGTCTTCTGTGACATGGACACGGACGGCGGCAGCTGGCTGGTGCGACTGGGAGCACTGGGAGCACTGGGAACAATGCTGGGGGGTTCCTACAGGGGTTTAGAGGAGGATTTATGGCTTTTTTGGGGGGAAATTAGGGGGTTTGGGGGCAACTGGGGCGTTCTGAGGGGGTTTGGGGGCAATTGGGGGTCCTGCAGGGGGTCTTGGGGAGGTTGAGGGGTGCTGGGTGGCACTGAGAGGGAACTTTGGGATACTGGGAGGGAGTGGGTGGTTCTACAGGGTTTATGGGGGGAAATGAGGGGGTTTGGGGTAATTGGGGGGTCCTGCAGGGGGTGTTGGAGGGCATTGGAGAGGTTGAGGAGTGCTGGAAAGGCACTGGGAGGGTACTGGGGGGCACTGGGAAGGACTGGAGGGGCTCTCTAGGGTTTATGGGATGGAAACTGCGGTTTGGGGGATCAGAGGGGTTTTGGGGTACCCCTGACCTCCCCAGGTTTTCCAGCGCCGCCAGGACGGAGGCACCGATTTTTGGAGGGGGTGGGACTCGTACGCCCACGGCTTCAGCAATGTTAGCGGTGAATTCTGGCTTGGTCGGGGGGGGCCCTGGGGATTTTGGGGTGGGACCTATAAAAAAATCTGGGGGGACTGGGAGGCACTCCCAGGGTTTGGGGAAACTTTGAGGAGAGCCCTGGGGCGGCAGCAGGGGGCACTCGGTGGGACCCCAAAATTTGGGGGATCCCCAGGGGTCAGAGGGGGGAACTCGTAGGATCCAGGGGGGGTTCCCCCCAAATATTCAGATCCGGTTTTGGGGTCCGGGAAGGATTTGGGGGGGTCTCCAGGAGTTCATGGGGCGCTTTTGGGGTCCCCAGGAGTTTGGGGGTCCCCAATATTTCAGGGGGAGCATTGCAGGGGGGATGGGAGAACTCGAGGGGACCCCGCAGGAGTCCTGGGGGTACCGGAGGATTTTTGGGGTGAACGAGGCACTGCATGAGCTGACGGCCGCCACCCCCATGGAGCTGTGTGCGGACTTGAGGGCAGGTCGTGACTCCACGATCTATTGCGACTTCGCCGTGGGCAGCGCAGAGGAGCAGTACCATCTCCGCGTGGGAACGTTCAGCGGCACCGCCCGTGCCTGGGGGGGGAGAGGGGGCAGGGTTCCAGGGGTGTTTGGGGTGGAAATTTTTTGGGGGTCCTGATGGGATTTGGGATCCATGGGGGGTTTGGGGGTTCACTGGATGGCAGAGGACTGTGGGGTCGCTGTTGGGTTTTGGTGGCTCCTGGTGGGATTTGGGGTCCTTGAGGGTCCCTGTCTTTTTTGGGGTTTCTGGTGGTTTTGGGGGTGCCTGATAAGTTTTGGGGTCCTTGGGATATTTTGGGGTTTCTGCTGAGATTTGGTGGTTCCTGGTAGGTTTTGGGGTCCCTGGGTTGTTGGGGAATTTTGTGGGGTCCTGCTGGGATTTGGGATCCTTGGGGGTTTTGAGGTTCACTGGCTGACAGGGTTCTGTGGGGTCCTGTGGAGAGTTTTGTGGAAGACTGGCTACGTGAGAAAGGACATGGTGAGATTCCACTAGTCAGGAAATAAGGCCTTGGGCAAGAACATTGTGCCTTTGAGCAAGGAGCAAGGCAATCACAAGATGTCAAAATAAGAATTAGCTTTTTTTAAAACAAGAATTAGCTGTTGCAGTAAAGCAACCATAGTCATCTGGAGTTTGTAACAATATGTGCGAGGATGACGCTTAGCAAGGCCAGAGCACAGAACCAATGATGAGCTTAGCTTTTGCAATATGTATGAGCTTTATTACCGTGTCTATATAACTGTAGCCTTCTGATCAATAAACTTGAGGCTTGCTGATCATCATCGGATCTGCTTGTCTCCTGTCGTCTCCGACAAATGTTGACCCTACGACGTGATCCTGACTTGGTGCCACGGCGGAGCAAGGATCGGGTCGGGTCCTAAGCAGCAAGGACGGCAAAAAGAGCAGAAAAAGAGTGCCCCCTGCCCTGGGTGACCGCACAGGCGAGCCTGGCCGATACGTGCTGCCGAGACCTTGAGGGGCTGCAACAGCTCTGACAAATTAGGTATGGAAAGGCAAGCAGCATATGATTTATTTACTGCATTTTTGCAGAAAAGACAGGTTAAGGACATAGACTTACAGAAGGAGTTGCCCGGGTTGTTAGAGTATGGGTACACAAAGGGAGTGTTTGTAAATCCTCACACTGTCCATGAGTTGTCAGAATGGCGTAAATTTGGAGATATATTGTGGGAAGCTACATTAGAGGATGATAAAACTGCAAAAAAGTTAGGAAAGATCTGGAGAGTAGTACACAATGAACTTTTGCAGTGCCAAGCTGAGAAAAAGGCTGCGGAGCAGGCATCTGCTGCCCAAGGCAAAAATAAAGAATATAATAGTGACTGGTTTTCGTCCACCCTGCTGCCTCCAGCAGTTTCTATGCTTTATTTGCCTCCCTCACCAGCAACTGCTGGGTTGGGAAGCTCGTGTGCACCATCAGCATCCCCAGAAGGGCAGGATTTACAGCCACAGGCGCCACCACCTCCACCTCCACGCAGTGAGCCGATCCCTGGGGCGGAATCTGATCTAGCGGAGGCTATTGCAAGGGGGAGGAGAGAAGTGTGGGCAGCGCTGGCAAAAGACTGCCTGGAAAAAGGGGATGACAGTGCAATAGAGGCAACGAAACAATTGGCTTGCCCAGTAATTTATCAGCCGATGGCAGAGGGAGGTTTGGGGGCAGAAGTATCCGTTCTCAATTGGAAATTACTGTCACAATTGTGCTCCACTGTTAGTCAGTCTGGGGTGACAAGCAAACCAGTCAAACAGATATTGGATTACATCTGGGGAACACAGATACTGTTGCCGTCAGATTGCAGAGGAATAGCAAAGTTAATATTCACACAGCATCAGCAGTTATTGTTTAATGCACACTGGCAGGCTTTAGTAAATGAATGTGTTGCTATACAAAGGCAACAGGGGGACCTATTGTATGGGGTAACCGTAGAGGAATTAATGGGGTTAGGAGCATTTCTCCACACTGAAGCTCAGGCATTGCTTGGTCCTGATAAGCGTAGGGAAGCAATGCGACTAGTAAGAATGGCCATTGACAGAGTTAAAGACCCTGGTGGGTTGCCTGTATACATGGGAATCAAGCAGGGAAGAGATGAAACATTTGGTGCATTTATAGATAAAGCAGCAGCAGCAACAGAAAGAGCAGGGGTGCCAGATTTTATGAAGGGAATGTTATTGAAGCAATGTGCCCTTCAAAATTGCAATCAGGCCACTAGAAGTGTATTAAACACCTTAGGAGCAATTTGGACTATTGAAGAAGTGTTAGAAAAAATGTCCCAAATACCAACAGGAATGCAGGCATTCCTAGTAGATGCTATCAAAACATTAGGTTTAGGGTTGCAAGAACAGGCTAAAGCTTCTCAGAGCCAAGTGTTAGCCACCCTTGCACCCCTTCAAGCGTCTGCTATGGTCACTCAGAAGACCACATCAAAAGGTAGTCTTAAATGCTCCTGATGCGGCGGCGTGGGACACCTCCGTCGGGAGTGCACTGCGACTGGAGTTTGGTGTCAAAAATGCCGAGTAGATTCACACAACACCAATGCATGCCGTAACCAGTCGGGAAACTACAGTGGGAGCACGCAGAACCGCAGTGGCCGCACTCAGACACAAGTCGTTGCTGCAGTACAAGCAACCTCACAGGCTGCCAACCTGCCACCAGCAGAAGCCTCGGCTTGGACCTGGCAGCTGCAGTAGACGTAACATTTATGACCTCTCAACCACAAAATATTCCAACTGGCACAAAGGTGCTGATTGTGGTGGGAGGATGGACTATGGGTGCCTTGTTATTGGGGAGATCATCAGCATCTATGCTTGGACTTTTTGTGTTACCTGGTGTAATTGATGCAGACTATACTGGAGAAATTATGATTATGGCTTACACTCTTTTCCCACCAATTCAAGTTAATGAGGGTCAAAGAATTGCACAATTAATACCCCTGGAACAAACAACTAAGGACTTGGATCCAATACAAAATAAAGATGGGGGGGCGATGGCTTTGGATCAACTGGGGGCCTCACTCTCCTCACCTTGAACTTAAATGAGAGGCCAAAACATAAAGTAGAAGTGGAATACCAGGGACAAAAGCGGTCATTTATTGGACTGTTAGACACGGGAGCAGATTCTAGCATTATTTGCCCAGAATGCTGGCCTCAACATTGGCCCTTGCAGCCAGCAGCAACAACAGTAATGGGAGTCGGGGGATTCACCCTCACCAGTCGCTCTCCTCCCCTAAAGGTTAAGGTAGATGGCAAACAAGTCACTGCCACTTTCTCTATAGTTCAATTACCACCAACAGTGCTGTGTCTTATTGGAAGGGACATACTAGCACAGCTAGGTGTGGTCTTAACCAATGAGCACCCTTTAGGCTAATGGCCATTGCATGGACTTTCCCAATTCCCATCACATGGAAAACTGATACACCAGTGTGGGTTAAGCAATGGCCTTTAAAAAGGGAAAGTCTTCAACATGCCCACGACCTTGTTAAAGAACAGTTTAATCAGGGACATTTACAATTGACCACAAGTCCATGGAATACTCCTATATTCGTTATAAAAAAGAAATCAGGGAAGTACCGTCTTCTCCACTACTTATGCGCAGTTAATGATCAAATGGAGCTGATGGGTGCTTTGCAACCTGGATTGCCCAATCCTGCAATGATACCTGAGGGATGGCCATTGTTAATCATTGATTTAAAGGACTTTTTTCCAATTCCGTTGCACCCGGAGGATACAAAGAGATTTGCATTTACCCTATATGCATTAAACAGAGAGGGTCCTGATCAACATTTTGAATGGACAGTATTACCACAGGGAATGCGAAATAGCCCAACCCTGTGCCAACTTTATGTGGCTTCTGCTTTACACCCTCTTCATCAAAAATGGCCAAGGACAATTATATATCATTGCATGGATGATATTTTGTTTGCTCAACCTACTCCATTCTCGGACCAACAAATCAAAGACATACAGGAAGAACTGGCAAGGTTCCAGCTTGTCATAGCCCCTGAAAAGGTGCAAAGGACTGCACCATGGAAATACTTAGGATGGACTTCATCTGAACAATTAGTCACTCCTCAAAAGTTACAACTTCAAACAGAACTCAAAACCTTAAATGATGCTCAAAAATTGCTCGGTGACCTGCAATGGTTAAAGCCTGTGGTAGGAATACCAAATGAACTATTAGATAAACTGTGACCACTTCTAAAAGGAACAGACCCCACATGCCCAGTACAAGTCACATCTGACCAACAAAAAGTTATTCAAGAAATTATGGACTGTGTTACACAAGGCCAGATCCGCCAACGTGACACAAACACACCAATTGACCTCACATTATGGTGTGGCCCCACATACCTACTAGGAGCTTTAACTCAATAAAAAAAAAAAGGGGGAGCTATGGGTATTGGAATGGATTTCTCCTGCACCGCAACAAACTAAAACTCTTTTTCAAAAAATCGAAATGTTAGCAGAACTAATCAAGAAGGGTCGAGAACGGACCTTGCAAGTTACTGGCACAGAACCCAAGACAATAAGAATGCCCATGAAAAAGGACTCTCTACAATGGTATCTGAACAACAGTGAGGAGTTACAAGAGGTGCTATTAGGAGCAGGTTGTACACTGGAAACAGGAAAAATAGTACAGGCACCACTGCATTGGATTGGAAAATGGGAATGGGTCACACGACCTAAACAAGAGACTACACCTATAACAGGTGCCCTGACAGCATATACTGATGCAGGGAAGAAGTCAAGAACTCGTGCTATCACTTGGCAGGAAAAGGACAGTTGGAAACACAAGATCCTTCCTGCAGAGGAAAGGGACACTTTACAGACTATGGAACTTCTTGCAGTTGTGTGGGCGATGTTAAACCTTAAAGGACCATTGAACATTGTCACAGATTCATTATACCTGGCAGGGGTGGTGGAAAGGATTGAGGAAGCCTCAATTAAGGAAGTACAGAATCAGAGACTTTTTGAGCTACTTGTACAGCTGCAAAAAGCAACAAAACTTAGGGAACATGCCTATGCTGTTATTCACATTAGAGGTCATAAGTGGGACATTGGTTTAGGAGAAGGCAACAATAGAGCAGATAAATTGGTAACTATAGCTGTCCTGGGGTACAATGCAAAAATGTGTATTCTATCACCATCTGTTGAAATGTGGGAGGGGTGGTGATCCTTATCTCTGTGGGAGATATCCTCTGCTGATGTGCCATCTGATAAGATCAGGGGAGGATCATCGTTATCTTTTCACAACCCATCCTTCCTCCAGAAGATATATTCTGTTAATGGGCCATGAAGTCCTATTGTGTGACTGATAAGATTACATCATCCCATTGGGAGATGCCCCAGCCAGGGGCAGGAGCCAAGCCTTTCCTACCTAGATAAAAAACTGGGGTTTGGGACGCAAAGACAGACCTTTCCACT